GTGTGTGTGTGTGTGTGTGGAAGGAGCTGCTGTTGAAGGATGAGGAGTGTGAGAGGTTGTCTAAAGTCAGAGACCAGCTCGGCCAGGAGCTGGAGGAGCTCACCGCCAGTCTCTTCCAGGTCGGTTCATCCTCCTCCTCCTCCTCCGTCCGTCTGTCCGTCTCCTCTGCTTCCCGTTTCCTGTTTCCTGTTTCCTTCCTGAGGCAGCGGCCAGACTGAAACCGGACAAAAAAACTAAATGTATGAAGACGATTCTCACGGGATTGGTTGCTCTGTATTCTTCGGCAGCAGAGATGTGAAATGGAGGCGTTGTGAGGTTTACGACCTCTCAGGTTGTTTTTCTTCATCCTCCATCAAGAGATTAAAATAGAAACGACTACGAGAGAGAAAGCTTTGTTTCAGCTCTCCGTACGTTTGTTAATGAATCACTAGAAAGAGTTTAAAAGGTTTAAAAAGGATTAAAATCGATGCAGCTGAGATATTTTCTTTTTCTTATCCCGCTAGTTCTTTTTCCTGGAGCCTACATTACCCACAATGCAACTTGACCACACACCAGTCCAGTGAGATATTCAGGTGTGTTAAGCTCGTTAGTAGCAAACTTGTAGTCTTCAGAACCAACCGACTCAAGCGAGGACGTTTATGAGACTTCACAAAACGCTGTTAGCACGTTAGCTGTTAGCACGTTAGCTGCTATCTGGGGCTCTGACCCAGGTTCTAACTGTATATGGGAGAATTTGATGGCGTTACTTTGCGCTCTAAGATATTGCGATGGCTATTTTTTTATTGAAACCAAAACGATTCATCAATTAATTGCCAAATAATTACTGGATCAATCGATAATAGAGGCTGGAGGAAAGCGCCGGTGTTATTCTGACAATGCATCCAAGAAGAAGGGACGACTAGTTGTGATTTCAGTTGGACTTTAACACCAGACTTTTTCGACTTGTTTGACAAATCTCAACGTTGGAGCTCCTGAAGCAGACTGAGTCTGTCCGACTGGCCTTCACATGTTTTTTCCTTTTCTTCTTGTCGTTCTTCCTCCTCGTTCTTTGGCCTTTTTCTCATAGAAGGTGCTGGGACTCTTATCTGTGTGTGTGTGTGTGTGTGTGTGTGTGTGTGTGTGTGTGTTTTCTGCAGCCTGTTTACATCTATGCAGCAAAACAGTTCATTTACTTTGTTTTTCTGATATTTATGTTAGTAAATTGTTCCTTTAAACGTCACCGATCTTGTGTAGATGCTGCTTCACTATGAAGTGAATCTCAACACTTACATCGCCAGTGATGAAAATATGGAAAAAATATCAAATCATTTGTGTGTGTTCTTTTACAGGAGGCCCACAAGATGGTCAGAGAAGCAAACGTCAAACAGGCGAACGCTGAAAAACAACTGAAAGAAGCCCTGGGGAAGGTGACGACACGGAACACTCGCTCACTACAAACGTTCCTGTCGACCGAGCTCCTGTTTAACGTTAAATAGGACTAAATACAGGGCGACGGGATCGGGATTTGAGTCAAAGAGTCGTAAAGTAGCAAAAAAACAGTTTTTCCTCCTGCGCTTCAGATCGACGTCCTCCAGGCGGAGGTCCAGGCCCTGAAGACGCTGGTGCTCTCCTCCCCCACCTCCCCGCTTGGCGAGCTCCCCTCTTCGGGAGGAGGCGTGAAGACCCCCTTCAGGAAGGGCCACAGCAGGAACAAGAGCACCTCCTCCGCCATGCTGGGGACGCAGCCCGACCCGTCGGCCACGCAGCCCATCGTACGGGAGTGTCGGGAGGTAGCACCACATAATAACTGCTGTCATGTTGTTCTCTCCGTGGCCTCGATTTCAAGCTTTACTGTGTGACGGTAACCTGTGTTATCGGACGTCTAGGTGGACAGTCAGCTGTTCAGCGACTTCAAGGCGTGGAAGGAGGAGCCGACGCTCGAACGCGGCTGCTGCTTCCTGGAGAGAGTTTACCGTGAGGACATCTACCCCTGCCTCACCTTCAACAAGTGTGAGGTACGCGACCACAAAGACAAAGATCTAGTGTCGGAAAGGACGTTTTAAAATCAATGAACGCATAAATACAACAACCTGACTATAGTTTTTAGACAAACTAGAAAAGTTGTGAACCTGTCCTTTAAAGCCGTCCGTCATCGTCTTCTCCCTTCCCTCAGCTCGGATCGGCCATCTTGGAAGCCGTGGAGCAGAACACGCTCAGTGTGGAGCCGGTCGGCTTCCAGCCGCTGCCTGTGGTCAAAGCCTCGGCGGTGGAGTGTGGAGGACCAAAGTGAGCCTGCACACACACACACGCACACACATAAATGTAAAAACTCTTCCTCCTCTTCATCGAGCTCTCACTCTTTCATCGTCATCTCTCCATCTTCCCTCAATTTCCTCCTCTAGTGGGCGAAAGGACGAGCTCGTCACGTGAGTCTGACTCTCTCTCTCTCATCAGCACCTTTGAATCTCCTCAGTTGCTCCTCCTAACAAACACCCTTCAGACTCGTAAACATCCTTCTGTTCGGGTTTATTACAGAGATCCCAATGAGACAAACCTTTAATGAATGTTTAACAGCCGTCCCTCTCTCTTTACTTCCTTTCCTTGCTTCCTCCGAGTCCCAGTTTTTGTTCAGTTCTTCCTCACGTTGACATCGAAACCCACAAATAACTCCGTGTCTTTGTCTCTTTGTGTCTCTCTCTGATAGGAAATGTGCGCTGAGCGGTCAGACCAAAACCTGTAAGCACAGAATCAAGTTTGGAGACTCGTCCAACTATTACTACGTGTCTCCGTACTGTCGATATAAAGTGAGTACCGACTCAAACACAAACAACAAAAAAGAACATCTTCAGAAGTTTGTTCTCAGTTCTGTTCGACTCAAAGACGTTGGGACGGTGTTTCTGTCTCTTTGTCTTTTCTCTTAGATCACAGCAGTGTGCAATTTCTTCACCTACATTCGCTACATCTACCAAGGGCTGGTCAAACAGCAGGATGGTGAGAGACACACACACACACACAGGAAACAGAGTAGCAGAAAATGGAAATACTCGAGTACTCCAGTAAATGAACGTGGTTGGTTAACTGAAGAAACCATGTGACCCGGTGGTGTTGCTCTCTGCTGTGTTTGCAGCGGAGCAGATGTTCTGGGAGGTGATGCAGCTCCGCAGGGAAATGTCCTTCGCCAAGCTCGGCTACTACAAAGACCAGCTGTGACCGACGGACGGCCCCGCCCTCCAATCACAGCAGACCACGCCCCGAAAGCCCCGCCCTCCCAGTCGTCCTGGTCCCTCCCTCCCGACGTTTGGTTGTTTTCAACGACCACGATAAAAGACTGTGACGTCAGTGGTCTGTTGTCTTTGGTGGGTTTCTGTCCAAAATATGATATTTACTTTATGTACATGTAACACTCCAATATATGAAGACAAGTGGCATGAAAAGAGGAGTTACACATTTAAATATGTCTGCATTTCAACCCGTCTGAGGAGCTTTCAGCTTTTTTAAAATTTCTTTCCCTCTGAAAATAAATATACAAAAACATTCAATCGTTCAATCAGAGTTTAACAGTTTAACAAAAAATAAGTTGTTTAGATTCCTCAATCACAAATAAAGACAAGTTCTGGACACAAGATGGAGAATTGGAGAATATAAATACAAGTCGTAGCGGCAAGATCATAAAATCATAAATACACAAAATGTACAAGTATGAGTCAAAATCTGATGAGAAATAAATTAAAAATCGAGAATAAAGTTGTAATTTTACAAGAAAATATATTTCAAGAGTTAAGTCGATTTTTGAAGGATTAAATATTAATGTATTATTACAATTATAAATATAAGAATATAAATGACTAAATAAATAAATGACTCAAATTTTGTTTTTTAATAATTACAAATTTAATTTAATTTGCAACTTTATACTCGTACGTCTACGATCTATCTCGCGAACTAAAACTTTATTTTCAAGATTTTATTTTATTGTGAAATTTCGACTTCACCTCGATAAATACTGACGCTTGAAATCATCAATTTATTTTCAGACTTTTTCTCTGAAATTCACTGGAAATTACAATTTTATTGCCACAACGCTAATTGAACAACCTGAACTAGTTCTAGTTGAATATTGTTTGCTAACAGTGGAACGGCTGCTCCGTTTATGTGTTATTATCTGTATTCAAGTTTTAAAACTCGAAGCTGAATCTCAAACATATTACAATAAAATGATGACCAAACAATCACTTCTGGTGAAACCAAGTATAAGCTTTTATTTAATTTATGTTGAAGGCAGTGTGTGAAATGTAAAGAAGTTTGATGCAAAGATAATCAGCAGATCACGAGTACAAACGTTACTGTAAAACCCCGTTCAGGCCGGATCCATGTCTCCAAGGGAGGCGGGGGGGTCAACATTAACGGGTCATGACTTTATAATTACAAACATCAAACGTCTCAGTCATAGACCAAATCCTAAATATCTCAAACCTGAGTTCAGTTACAAACGAGCACATGGTGGATGTCTCCCCTCCTCCCTCTGTGGAGTCGGTCCCGTCTGAACGCAGCTTAAACAAATGTATTTTCAACATTGTAAAGTTTGTCTCTGTATGAAGTAAAACAGTATTTATAATTCCTTTAAGAGTTATGTTGTTGTCGGGGTTTTGATGAAGGAGACTTAAAGTA